GACGGACGGACGGACAGACAGTCACCGCTTAATCGATTTCTCTTTTAATCCTGATCATTTATGTATACATCTGTCTATGTCTATCTCGATTCGTTTTGCCTGTTACAAACAACCGTTATGTGAACAAAGTTATAATACCCTTGTGCACAAGTGCACAAATGTTAATAGCTAAGCTAGCTTTGGGACAATCTTGACCGCCTTATATATAGATACATATGTTAAGCTCGTCCCTTTAGCTTTAAAACGACGTTGCGCAAAACCCGAGATATAACGATTTGAAGTAGTACATGATTAGCCAGAAGCACGGAAAACTACAAACTTTGACAGATCATATCTCCGAAGAAAAAAAAAGAAAAAAAATTTCCTCGAACACGTTTTAGCTTATTTCATGTATAGAACTCATAAAAAAAAAAACAAAAAAAAAATTAGGCCAATCGAAAGTGTGACACCAAATTTGGTGTCCGATATGTCTCATATATAAAATTTAAGGGAAATTTGTTCTAATCCGAAAAGTCCTAAAATACCGGGTTAATTTCAATGATTTTTATTTTGAGCGAACTTACAGTGACCCGAATATAAAGTGGAACGCGACATTTTAGCAAGCGTTGGCTATTTTTCTTTAGTTTATTTAATGCTTATTATTTTTTTATGAAAGTGTAGCTGATTACTCAAAAACACCACTATATCAAAATTTCATACTTTGTGCAAAAATTATGAAACTTCTGCGAATTTTCATCAAAATTTTTAACTTTTTAATCAGCATTTTTAAAAATTTTCAAATTTAGTATAATAAAGTGTAAATTTAAACTAACTAGCACCGTTAATTATTGGCAATTTTTTTTTGGACGGACCTCCGCATTTTTCCCTATAAAAAAGTTTTTCCCCTATAAAAAAAATTGCTGAACATACTTTGTATGGAAAAAATGCGTAAGACGGTCGTCCAAAAAATGCCAAAAATCAACGGTAGGCCCTAGCTACTTCAATACTTATAATATACTAAAATTTGATAGAATAAAAAACTACATAGCATAATTTTTCTAAAGATGCCGATTAAAAAGTAAAAAATTTTGGTTTTTTGTTTTTTCATAATTTTTTCACAAAGTTTGAATTTCGGGTTCATACGGTGTTTGTTAAGTAATCAGCTATAAAAAAAATACACACTAAATAGATAAATTCTTCATAAAATTTTTGTTACAAATTCCTTAAATTAATGTGTGAAATTTTATTCGCAACACTTAGAAAATAACTAAATAAAGCAAAACTCTCTGAGAAGAAAATAATTGTGAATAATTTTGTTAGGCATGTGCCGAGAGTAGCAGATTACTAAAAACTGGAATGTTTCAAATTTATAATCGAATTTAAATAATCTAAAAAGTTTAATTGTTAAATTGATAAGGAGCGACCGGCGTTTTCTTTTCTCGAAATGATGTTTCCCTTTTTCCTTATTCCTTTCACAGCTTTACTTATTCTTTTCTCAAAATATTACCCTCCGACTAAGCAAAAGTGCTATACTTTCGACCAATATAGCCATTTTGCAGGACAAAAGGTAACCTAGAGCAAATGTTACAATATAAGAAGACAAACTTTTTCAATAGAAAAAAAGCCATAAGTTTGCAATTGATCTATTTTGTATTTAAGTAATACTAACATGACTTCTGATGTAAAGCTTAGCTACGTATAACGAGAGTTTCCTTTGTTAAACAAAAATAATTTGTAATGAATTTACCAGTATCTGTTTTTGAGATTTCTTCAATGAATTTACTAATCTTTCTACTTGTGATTTATTTAAATCATATATGTAATACTCCTATATTGGCAGTAAGAGCTAGTACCGTCCGAAAACATTACAGTACAGATATACCAGTAAACACGTACGAAAGAAAAGGAGCACATACGTTTATAAATAAACACCCTGTAAAAAGTGGGACTAGGTTAAATGCTAGTACGCTGCATTGTAACCAACACTAGTAACCAAAATGGTCCAGACTTATGGAGAAAATATGGTTACATTAACATTGCGATGTCATTGGACCTGGTCCAACGCTGCATAACATGGGACCACCTAGACAACTACTCCTTTTGGACCATGGACTGGATTTAATAAGATAAACCGAAATAGCAAAATTTATTATTTAAAATGCATTTTCTTAAAAAATTCGTCACGCGTCAATGGGCCACGAAGAGGGGGTTTTCAACACATATATCAGGTTTTTATGCTTGAAGTGGTCCAGATCACCATAACAAGTTACTAATATGCAATCTGGTATTTTTGCACATACTTTAAACCTACGTCCCAGTAGACACCCTGGACCTCAAATTTTTGCAGGGCATGTACACAACACATACACAAAAATGGCACTGACGTATACAATACATTGACACAAACGGTACTAGACTGTCTCGCTTTGATTTCGGAATGCTTCCACATTGAGAAGTTAGCTTACTGCCAATATAGAAGTATTATATACATATATGATTTAAATAAAACATATGAATTTTATTTGTCAATTTTATTGTGGCGAATTAATGTTTATTCCAGTAGTGTAATTGAGCTTTGTACCACGATTTGTTTGTTAGGAGAAATGGAAAAAACAACAAAGACTAAGCGGTAGAAGTTATAGCTGATATTTTCGAGATCACCACATCTTCTCATCAGACTTCTTTTTCTAGACTTCAGCAGGGATCGAACCCGAAATTTTAGTTGAAGCATTTTAGCCGTTTTTTTGGACAATTTAGCCGGTCGGCCCAAAAAGTTCTGGCAACACTGATTATAGGTATCATAACCATAAACAGCTGATTTTTCGTAGTCAACAATGTCAGTGTTGCCAGACGCGGAAAAAGTGTAATATCGTAGGATATTTGCGCAGAACTTTTTTCACTATCACTAAATTAACACAATTCTTAAAATTCAACAGCAGCAGCCGGATTCCAGCCTTCGTTATCGCTAATTTTGATCGCTAAAAAATCTCCCAAGAATAGCAGGCGCGCCTAACAACATACACCACCTAGTTACATGCTACTCATACTACCAACTTTGGTTGATTACACATTGCATCTGTTACTTTTATATTGCGTGCTTTTAGGCCCCACTGATTTTCATTTAGAGAATTTTGGCGATGGAAATTTAGCGTGGCGATTGTCAGAATTCCATTGCAGATCATAATAAAATATGTACATCAAATTAAAGGTAATAACTTGTGCTTTCTTAATAATATATTCTTTGTTAAAAAATGGTATTTTATGAAAAAATACGAAATTTTTTTTCGTTTTTAGTATTTTTGTATTAAAAATATAAAAAAGCATATAAATTATGTACATCAACTGAAAGATAAATTAATTGTCTTTATTTTGACATCATTAGTTTTAATCGGTTAAGTAGTTCATAAGATGTTAATATTAAAAAAAATAAAAAAAATTAATTTAACCTTTTATATCTTCGTTATATTTTTGCGCCAAATAATTTTGGTACAGTTCAAATCAGCGTGAGAGTTCTATCGAGCCACATTTTTGGTTTTTGCATAGCTAAATGGTTCATATTCTACACTTATGCCTAAACGTTGGCTGTGAACAATTTTTTATTTTTTTGGAAGGTATTGCCATGTGTTCTTACTCGCACTTAAGAAAACAGCTGATTATGGTTATAGCGGAAGACCCAAATTAATTGGTCTCGGTGGTTATGGTTATGGCTATGGCGTTATGGTGTGGCAACACTAATCGAATACAGTGTTGGCCGTAAGGTTGGTTTTAACAGCTGTTTTATATGGTTGTGGTTATGTCACCACTAATTTAAGCTTTAGACTAGCCTACTAACTGCTTTTGTTATGCTCAACTAAAGGTAGGACCAGTGCAGTTTTGATGCGGTCAGACTAAAAATGATGAGACACAGTAGCAGTTCTACGAGTTCCTCAAAGAAGGATATGAACGCCTCCCACGAAATGTTATTAAAATTTTGCTTTGCGATTTATCGACTTCGCCGCATCTCTGAACCAGGTAATTAGGATTATCACCCACCAGCAACGAAACATCTATAAAGCCACTCGGGTTGTGATATACCCTAACATTCACTTCGAGCGTTCTTGATGCGCGTACCATCAGGTATGCATGCGCTTCTGTTAGGGATGTTGCGATACTACTGATAATCTTGGTATCGATGATTTTGTTTCGATACTGGGTAAATCGGTATTGCATACTAGGGTAGTATACCCATATGGGTGCTTTCTTTCGATACCACTGAATGTATCAGTATAACGTCAATATCAATATCAACTTCATAAAAGCCATATTGTTCCTAGAATTATATTAAACTATATTTCCTGTTTAGTGAAAAGTAAAGTATGGAATCACATTACCAAGATTGACAAAATCTCGGTTAAGCTCAAAGTTTGTTTGAAAAATCTAAAAATTTCGGGCATACAACAATTAAAAAAAAACATTTACCTACTGATGGCACATTATATTTATTCATTCCATTAACTGCGATTCCTGATTCCTGACACAACGTCATAGTTTTCGCGCTTAGCTCTTTTCGTATTCTGATGTAAACGAGCCATTTTTACAACCTTTTATTTAACTTGTTTATGTATTGTTTATTACGCACTGCAGTTGTTAAAAATTTATTATTAATTTTCATTAACTGCATCATTCATATTAGGCCAAAATATGTTTGTTTCAAAAGGATAATATATCGATATTTTATTTCCGATACCAATACCCATATTTGTATCGATACTTAGCTTCTGATACATCATTTGATACTGGCATCGATACTTTTATAGTATGGCAATATCCCTAGTCTCTGTAAGATGAAGAACCTGAGCCAGGTGTGGTTTCAATGTACAGTCGTGAAATTTCGGAATCGAAATATACAAAGCCGCATTTTAGCCAAAGACAAAGGCGGGGAGGCGTCTTTTCAGGAATAATGAAGAGGTAGAAAGCCTTGAATGGGCAGAGCCTGAGATGCTGGCAGTCGGGCAGGAACGCGGCCTGAATTTTCTAAAAAGAAAAAAAGAAACGATTGGTTTCAAGATTCGGACTAGTTCCTGCAGGGACGAAGATGGAAATCGGGTAGAAAGCGTCCGGGAACACTTAATATACGGAGGAAACCTTTAACGCCGTTTTATAATGGCGACAGCAGTGTGGCTTTTGATTAAACAGAGGCAATGTACAGAGACTCTCACGTCGCACAGAGCATAGTTTAGGCGATTTAGGGGAAGGAAAAGCGAAAACTGAATGTTGGTAAAAGAAGTTCAGATAAGCTGTATGTACATATGGATATCTGATGTAAAAGAAAATCGGTTCCCGATTGTCTGAAGATTTCCAGAAAGAATGCTGATCTTGTAGAAACATGGCTGTTTTTGACGAACTATAATTTCCAGTTTTCCGGCCTTTATCAATCAATGGTCGTATCCGTCTTATTTCCTAACGAGATTGCAATCTTGGATATCCTTTTAATTTTGCACATTGTAGCCTTAATAAAAACCATTATTTTAAAATTTTAAACGTCATCCTTGCATGTCAATTGCGCCCCTTTAGATTTAAATCATACGTAAGTGGGATTCAGCTTTTTCATATAAGCATATAAATTGTGTGACAACTGTAGGTCACCTTTGTGTAACAACATTAAGGCGCACGCCACAAATCGGAGGATAAGCTCGGCCAAACACCAACATATGTGTTAGCGCCTAGCTGTTATTATATAAATTGTGTATCAGCGCGTATCAATCGGATCTCTTTAGGAATGTTTAATCGATCATCTCTATATCAAGGGCCAATAGTACCTACGAATTATGAAATGGGAAGGACAATTCCAAAAAAGTCGACTCACAGTCAAATTTTGGTAAAAATCGCCTTTTCTTGTGTATTTTTGCTGGCAAAAATTTAGTCATTGGGGCTTTTCTGATTTTTAATCAGGGCAGCCATAAATCTCATAAAAACAGAACCAAATATGGGTTCGTGGTGTGGTTGGAGCGGAGAAACGCTGTTAAATCACAACCAAGCAAAAAATTAAATGTTTGCAACATTTATAAAAAATTAACAATATATTGGTATGCGATGAAATGTCCACGTGTAAAAATTTCTCTGCGATAAGATTTTGTAGGCGAGAAAACTGACAGTTTGTGGGAGCATTTTTTTTAAATATACTTCTTAATATGTATCTAATACATATCGCAAATTTTTGTGGAAATAGCTCAATAAATATGGAATTTCAAAATATTTCGACCCCGGCGCCATCTATCGGTTCAGTTTTCCTACATATGCAACCAATATTCATTGAAAAGATAAACCAGATTGGACCATGACTAACATAGACCATAATTATACAGGCTTTTGGAAGTACATAACGCATTCTAGAGTCAAAATTGTGGGCACTATGATTTGCCTTCCCCTAATCTCCCCTATTACGCACTGTGCGGTGTTATAATCCACCAAGATGAGGAACAGCAATAATGCGACTTAAAAATAATGAAATTCCCCAAGCAGGCGGCATACGAGCTCAGCTATTCAAAGCTGCCAGCAAGGTATCTGTTAAGATACCTGTTCGGGGCAATATGGTATACCTGCCCGAAGACTGAATTTTCAATCCAAACGATGGGATATACGTTCATAACCTTCATTGTAAGGCCATTTCGACGATATTCTGTGCACGACTGACTGGGGCTTATTAATGTGGCCTTAGACGTGAAAACTCCATACATTTTCAAATTAGGGAAGAGACAGAATGATGAACTGTACGAGCTTTATTTAATATGTACAATGTACAAACGATTGTAGTTCTAAAGAGGAATTCAATTTGCAACATTTTTGTGGCCCAAGACTACAGGAGAAAAAGAATTAGAATTCAACAACAAAGTAAGTAAAAAATAGAGTTTCACTCGCTTCTTGCCATAAGCTCAGAGTCCCACTTCTGTACTCACATTAAATTACCTAAATAAAGCAGGAAAACCTTGCACCGCATACGCCACACTGTTTAATTCAATAGAAGACGCAGACTTTGATCGTTCTTGACTCTACCTCGCTTTACTTGAATGCTTAGCTCCTCGTATGAGCACTGGCCCTACCAAATATACATATACAAATATTATAGCTGCTGCTAGTTTATCTCAGACCACTTCCATGGCTGTGTATATCCACTCGTATGTTTGTCAATCGATACAGCTAGCAGACCAGCATAACCTTCAGGTCCTCCAATTCCTCGTTCAAATATTCTACGCAGTCGCCTACGCTTATGTTACTTACACAAATCGGGGTCCCTGCAGTGCCATTGTCGCCATCGCCGACCTTACCACCCCGCCGATGCTGCATTTCACCTTGCTGCTCTACTATTTGCTGCTGCAATGTCAACACGCCATCCAGGCTACTGATGCCTTGCAATCGCTGCGCATCATTGATATTGCTGCCATCGTCAACTTCGTAAAAGCCATCATCTGTAATATCTGGATTCATTTTAGTAGTGACTGGCTGCGATGCCAGTACGGCGGCTTGATGTATTTGTCTCTGTTGCTGCTTCTGTTGCTGGTCATGCGGCTGCTTCATGGTGTGCAATTGCAGAACGTATTTAGGTGTTAATTTGTAATCGTCGTGATTGTCATCGCCAGTCATTGCCGCTGCAGTCACCACCTGCTGTTCAGTAGTCCCGAGTATGCTTTGCACTACGACACCAATATTATTAACAACTTGGATGTTTTGCTGAGTTGGATGGCAATAGTCATTTTCTTCATCCGATGACGGTGAACTATCCAATAGACAACTACCTTGGTTGTAAGCGCTGTCGATATCTAAATTATGTGGGATGTGTATTTGTTGTTCATACGAATTAGCAGTTTTATCTAACAAATCTCCACTGCTCTGAATGCAATTGAAAACGCGTTGTGCAACAGCGTTCCCATCCTTACTTTCAGACAACCCTGAGGTGCTGCTACTTATAGGAATATTACCGGAATCGTCATTTTTTAATAAGAATTCGGTAAAGACATTGTTATTATCATTTTGAACATCCCGCTGAACGCCGAAGCTCTCGCCTGCACTTTTCTTCATTTTATTATTAGTTGATAAATCAGCGCTTCCAATGTTGAAGTGGTCGCTGTTGCCTTCTTGCCTGCTGCTATTGCAGCCATCCACAGCAACTACGAGGTGTTTTTCCAGACTACTGCAATCGGAGTCGCCAGAT